GAAGCCAAGACAAGGCAGGAGTGGAGAGTGTGGAGTGTGGAAATACTAGAGGTTGGGCGAATAGTTGTGTCTGTTCCCACAGGGAAATATTCATAATTGCACAGACATTACTGCTGCATCCAAAGGATGCGGAAACGAGGACAACACACGTGCCGAGGCTGAGGCCTGAGTCGATGACAAACGCTGATAGCATTTCTTCTCTGGATATTGATATACAATCGAACATGGGATCGAGCAGGAGAGGGTGGAGGGTGGAGGGTGGCAGGGGACGGTGTGCATTGGCCATAAATCCATTAGTCCATAAATAGTATTGATATGGAATGAAAACAAAAATAAAATAAAATTATTTATACGTTTCGCACAGCACCGAAACGGTCGTGGCGGCGCGACAAGCAGGAAAATTAGTCCAAGAACCGGAGACAGGACACACGAGGCATAGACAGGGGATGATCTGATAGGGGGTGGGGTGTAACAATGAGAGTGGGAAAAAAACGGCGCAAAGTTTTTCCTCAATTGGCGATGCGCTTCAAATGATTTCGAGAGATTCGCGAACAATGCGCACAGCACACAGCACACACATCCCGACAATCGGAACAACTGTATCGAATTACCAATCACAAAGGACAATGAGAGCAAAGCGAATCAGCCTTAGCAGGCGAGTTCTGGGGTTGCGCTGCGACAAGTTGTGACAAGCGAAAACTCACCTCTGGACCTGTGCTGGGCCAAGCATAAGGGTTATAATCCTCCTCCCCCTGATGCCCCCGATCCTACCAACATCCATGTGGAGCCATCAGAATCATTATGAATGCTCTTTACTATCACTTACGACGCCTCCTGCTGCCGCTAAACAATTAAATCGAAAGGATAATCAAATGAGGAAAAGTGCTGCGTGCTCTGGGGAGGAGACATCTTGGCCAAATTGCCGACAATTTGGGTTAACTGTAAAATTTCTGCAAGCCAGAGAGAGAGAGAGCAAACAGTAAAAAGCAGTAAACAGAAAAACGGCAAACGTGCAAGTTTTTGACAAGTACAAATGTGAATGGCGGACACTAAAGCCGGCAGCCATAGTCCGCAAAATGAAGACATACTCCGGGATTGAAAGTGGGTGGACGCTCTCTCTCTCTCTCTCTACAATAAAACCCATTGGGGCGTAAAGGATGCGAATGCCTTTTAATAATAAAATGAGAGGCAAAACTACGCCAGGGCCAGGACTGGGCCGGGGACTGGACGGACAGTCCTGCATAAACTAAAACTAAAGCCTCTTGTCTATGCCCAGGCACGTCTTAAATGTTCAAATTATGTAAAATAAAATGTGAGCCAAAAAAAAAAAAAACGAAAGAAAGAAAAGAAAGGCAAGGGCAAAAGGAAAATCTGAAGTGGGAGCAGAAGCGGTAAAGGCTGACGTCAGCCCTGAGTGACAGCGGAGTGACAGCGACAAGTGGGGGAGATAGAAGGCAAAACAGGAGGAGGAAGGATTCACTTTACTCGATTCAAGGTGCAAAAAAGGCAGAGGACATCGTTGACACTTCTTCTGCTTGGGTCTGTGTGTGCGGCTGTCTGCCGGCCATTTGCATGCCCCAAAGCGGATCCCGCGTGTCCCGGCTAATAACCGTGAGTAAGCAAACAGGTGCAGCTCTCCACGAAGGCTCGAAGGATACTGCCGTCGCTGTGATCAATCTTGATAAGCTTTTGTTTTCGCCGGGTCTTTGTTTATGGACCAAAAAGGCACCCAAAAGCTCGGACGACAGCTCTGTCTGGGGGCTGCTGGGGAGATGCCTTAGAAGTAGCACCCAGGATTGAGACATCCTTCGGACAGAGTGGAGTGGAGTGGAGCGACTGGCTGGCTGGCTGGCTGGCTGGCTGACAGGCAAACAACGGCGTTGTCCTTTTTTATTGTGGGTCTGAGCGCTGTATTTCGTCCTTATGATTGATTAGCAATTAATTAGCTACACAAATAAGTGTAATTATATGCGATGCCAAGGGCCACAAAGGACCTCTGATGTCAAGGGTCTCTCTGGAACAGCGTACCTCGTATCGCTCGCTCGACTCGCTCTCTAATTTGCATTTTGTCTGTGCTCTTTTTGTTATGCCCTAATGAAACGAATCTGCGGCTGCCATTGCCATGGCCATTCCTTTTTATGGCCTAATGACACTTTCGAGAAGCAAATAAGATTCGTCACACAGTGAAAGAGAGAGCGGAGAGGCCATAGATCTGGCTTCGATTTTGCAGTCACCCCGAAAAATGTGCAGCATCTTTTGCCTTTTGTTTTAACGGTTCCTCCTCCCAGACTCCAGCTCCTGCTGGCAGTCGCAAAGTTCCCTATCCTGCCGCTGACAGCTCGACAGTTTTTGGCCGGCCAACAATGCATGACTGACCCTGTCAATACTGGTATGCCCTCCGACCCCGAATCCATTTAGCTCATATGAGATATTTAATGCATGCAATACGAGTATGGATTGCACTGTACAAAGGAGGAAGGCAGGCAAGGGCATTGTTTCGCCGAGTCCTCGAACTGGAACCGAAACTGCAACTGAATTTTCGCCATTGCCCCAGCTCCACCACTGACATTGAGTGCTCCGACATGCGACGTGTGCGTCGTCTGTCCCCAGCTCCTTTATGGCTGAAAGCTTTTGTCGCTGCCGTGCCACTAAACATGTCTCTCGCCCATCGCCAGACTCTTCTCTTCTTTTGGAACTGCTCCAAAATATAACTTAAGTTTCTGGTCAAATGAATTTGGCAAAGGTAGCCAGAGAGGAGCATCCTTTTGGGAGCCGCTTGTCGACAGCGGAATGGCATGGAATTTATGCAAAAGTTCACCAGCGGAAATTTGTACAATTTTTCCTCCGAAAATGTATGAAAAATATGAAGAGAAACCCCGAACCAGCAGCAGCAGCAGCCACCGCAATTGGCAGTTTAAGTGGCTTTTGTTTTGAGCAAGTTTTTCCGCTTTTCCTGGGGTTTTCGTGTTCTGTTTTTGCTTTGTCACCTGTTTTCGTTTTCCTGTGTTTGCTTGCACCTCCAGTTCCCCCTTCTGTTCTCCTGCTGACGAAACTTTTTACGATCTTGTCAACATTTTGAGTTGAGTGCATTTTTACGCCTCACATCGTGTGGCCTGGTGGCGCCCCCTGACGCCTAAAAGCAGTGGCAGTGGCGGACTTGCCAGGGTTGCCAGGGTTGCCAGGGCGGTGCGGGGCACTAAAATCGAAAAGTAATGCAATAAAATTCGCTTTCATTAAAAGCATTAAAATAGGTTTTTGACATGCCATAAAAATTGTTTTCACGTAAAACAGGGGAAAAAACTGCTGCGGCCACACTTTTTCCTGTTGGTTGTGGGTTGCGGGGGAGGCAGTGGGTGTCTGGAGTACGCGACTTCTAAATGGGAATTTTATTGTTCTGGGAGCTGTGGCCGACGCATTGCCATTAGCCGGCAACACGGCACTCGCATGATGGAGTTCCGTGCTAACACCTATGGCATCGTAAATCGTAGAGCGGAATGATGAGTTTCTGCCTCTTGAGGGAATCGGTGAAGTAGATATGATACATGACTGAGTGTTTGACAGAAGAGAGAAACAGCCAGGAAGCTGTGGGAGTGGGAGTCAGTGTACAGCGAAACAGGAATCCAATTCCGCTCCAGCATTTATCACATATTCGTACGGCAAACATTATTAAATCGAACTTTCGTCTATTCATTTGGCAAAAATTATGACAGCACACAGAATGGAATACGCGTAGTATTCAAGGCAATTAACAGCAGACTTTATAGGTAGTCCCCGCCATGGTCATGTTTTTGGTCTGCACCATTTTCGGGGAGCGGGGCGATACAAATCGAATGGGGATTTTATTTCGACGTTATTAACTTCAAATTACACGGGAGGGGGGAAAAGTCAATGTGCTCGCTTTGGTCCTTAATTGCCGGGCGACAGGACAGGATAGGACAGCGACAGCGTGTGGCGAAAATATTTTTGGTCGCTTGGCTGGACGCGGGGAATTACTCGCATTTTCATGATGTAATAAATGAAATTAATTTCAATAATTGCAGCGATTCTGGCAAACCAAAAGATTTCTCATATTCTCTCGCTCTCTGTCTCGCTCTCTCTCTCTCTCTCTCTCTGTTCGTTGGCTTTTATTTAGGCCACTTATTTTATTTTATCTCGACCATGATTCCGCATCAGAATCGGGCAAAGTGGCGTAGGGCGAGTGTGCGAAAACGTTTCGCGATGACCATGAAAACTGCTTAATCGGAAGAATGAATATGAATATGTTTTTGTGCCCCATCCCACCCCTGGATAAATATGGATAATAAGCAGAGAACACAACACACAAACAGAGCGAGGAGAATAAATGTGAAAATCCGAATGTTTTCCTTTGCCACTGTCGTTTGTGTTTTTGTTTTATATATTTCGATTCCATTCTAATGTTCCATTCTGGTGGTTACCCTGGCAGCACAGTGGGGTGCCAGGGTATGCTGTGTGAGTGGAAAAGTATGATGCTGATGAGCTGGAATAGCCAGGACTGAAAGTCCAGCTGTAGGTGCATTTGTATGCAGGAGACTGTTGGCAGATACTGAACCCTACCTTCGCTTAATGATACATGGAAAATCTTATTTTTAATCAATCGAATGATCGATCTGCTCTTTAAAAGTATTTCCCCCTACTTTCTTCTACATTTTTACAACGGAATCCTCTTCAGTTAGAACCTTCATGGCGGGTATCTCATAGTCGTGGAAACCTCTTTATAATTCTTGTATTTTTTCCTTTTTTTTGCCGCAACAGCAGCATTTTTAATATTGCGAAATTTGCTGTCATATTCTTCGTACTACGCCCTCCCAGTCCACGACTTTTATTGGATAATGGTAGAGAGTATTTTTCGCATTTATAATGCGGGGGCCATATATTTTCATGAACACTAAATTGAATGGGAAAGTAGGGCGGTCGGGGAGCAGGTTTCCTTTGCAATGACAATCAGACTCAGGGGCACAAAAGGGGCGACACATTGCCATAAAGCAACAAACAACCAACATACACACACGAACAGAGTAGAGTCTAAAATTGTAGTTTATTTTCCATAAGGATGTGTTTCCTGAGCAGCGTGATGGCCAGGCTGTCGGGTTGTATGCGCACTCATTGGACAGGTCCCTGCCTCGCAAAGCCATTAAAAAATCAGAAGAAAGCTTCATCCACTCGGAAGCAGCGTTCAGGCTGCGCCAAGCGATCAAATAATACGGCAAAGAATCGAAATGCGAACCGGAACAAGAATCCCCAGCGACTGGAGACCCAGGAAGAGCAGCCGAGTTCAGGCGTCACCCCGTGCTGCAATCCCCCCCAGAAGACATACCCCTTGTTGTCACATCATAGCTATACGATCCGGAATACATATCCGGGACCACTGGAGACCTACGACGGGGAGGCGCGCGGCGAGAAGCGTCTCATCTGCTTCGCGGATCTGAGCGAAAGTTACCTGGATTTGCTGTTCAATCAGGTTGAGGAGGAAGAGAGGAAAGATAAGGAAAAGGAGAAGTTGGAGAAGCAGCAGAAAAGTTGTGAGAGCAAGGGCCAACCGACAGCAAAGAGGTGCCGGGAGAACAGTAGGGAAAGGTCTCCGCAGAGGAATGTGAGATTCTGTGGAGAGAAGAAGAAAAGCTGTGGGGAAAAGCAGAAGGAAGGTTGTGCAGAAAAGACAAAGAAAAACTGTGCAGAAGTGAAGAAGGAAGGCTGTGAGGAGAAGAAGAAGGCAGGCTGTGAGGAGAAGAAGGAAGGTTGTGCAGAAAAGACAAAGAAAAACTGTGCAGAAGTGAAGAAGGAAGGCTGCGCAGAGAATTGTGAGGAGCAGAAGACCGAGCACCGCAATTTTCGTGCAATGATCCAACAAGAAACGAAAGCCCAGCGGCTATACGAGAAAGGGCTCCTCAAAAAGGGCTGTCAGAACGGAAAGGCTTGGCAGTGCCTGCTGCCCAGAGAGAAGCTGACCTACTACTGGCGTGTGCGCACCGGAGAGCAGCTGCGCCCCACCGCCTACTCCAGCTTCAAGCAGGGATTCGTGAAGCGCTTCAGGAAAATGCATCCGCGTGCTGGCTCCAAGCGGGTGCGTGCCGAGACGCGTACCCAGTGGTATGCCCTGGAGCGCAGCCAACGAGAGCCCTTTGTCATGCAGGCCCTGGTCTATCATGTGAGCACTGGAGAGCTGGATCCCGTGGATCAGTGCGCTGTCCGAGAGATGTACACAAAGCTGAAGGGCAGCGATTAGCATGAGCAGCCACCCCATCAAACATTTTCCCTTTACATTTCCCATTTCCCATTTCCCATTTTGCATTTAAATTTTTGATTTCATTTTCATTTTTCCAAAATCTTGTACGAGAAACAGATGTTGCTGCCGGCGGAGTCTATTTTTGGGGCAAAAGTTTCCAAATCTGCGACTCTTTCCAGCTGCTCCTCCTGCTTTATGGACTGCCTGGGACCGACGCCCTTGAACCACATTTCGAGGGGCATTATGGATCTCCCATTTTGCATCTGCATACTTTTCGCACCCGAACCAAGGTCGCTCCGTTGACATGGCCTTGGGTTGGGGCAGGGCACTTGATTAACAATTAGCGGTTCGAGATTCGCGGGAAGGCGGCCACAGCCAGCAGCCAGCAGCCAGCAGCCAAGGTCGTTCCCCACACCCCATGCCGTGTCTAGATCGAATCAATTTTGCGTCGCGCATACATTAGCCATAAAAATCTGTTGTACAAATAAAACAAAAAAAGGCAAACGAGCGTGGAGAGCAGAGAAAGTTTTTAAAATGTAATTTCGACTCGCTGGCAAAATAAATAAAATAAAATAAAGTAAAATTGTGGCAAAAGGAAAGTGAGTTCGGGAAATCAGATGGAGCTGGAAGCCAGGGATCATCCCACAGCCAGGAGTCTGCTGCTAGACATTATGCTAATGGAAATGAGCAGAGGAAATGAAGGGAGAGTCTCTGTGTGTGCGGCTGGTGTTGGTTTTTATTGAAAAGTTCCCTTTATGGCCGTTTGTCGTTCTCGTTGACATAAAACGAAACGAAATGAAATGGAAAACTAAATCAGTTAAAATCGGAACAGAGAGGAAAACTCGATTCGCCACGAGTGTGTGTAGCTCCTTCCTGGAAACTGAGATTCGACAAATTTATTGTTGTAGATATTGACTTTTATAGTGGGCCCAAAATACCGTGACCCAAGCACACACCCAAGCCAGCCACCCAGCCACTGCCCAACACGCCACATCGGTTCTCCCACCCACTCTCCTGTTTTTATTCTTTACACGGATTTCTGCGAATCGAGAAACAATTGGCATTCGGGAATTTCGCATGCCTGCCACTCGCAGGACTCTCAGCACTCGCAGGACTCTGTCAGACGCTGCACAACCCTTCGCGTTTACCCTTGCCCCCTTACCCCTTACCCCTTGCTCTGCTCTTTTTTTTATGGGCTACTGTTGCAAAGATTTTGTTGTTTTGATATTCGGCAGTTTTATTGCCTTGACCCGAGTTCGCACCTCAATTTGTCTTCGTAAATGTGAAAAATGTGGAAATTAGTTGGCGGTGGAGTGGCGCTTCCCTTTTCCCTTTCGTTCCTCCTCTGTTCGCCTTGGGGGGTTTATGGCCAAACATTTCATCAATCACCCACGATGTGTCACACCTATCAGGGATGCCACATCCGCTGACACTGACGCCGCCTCCACTCTCGTATCAGATGCAGATCGTCCGCCGCCCGTTCTCGACAAAAAGCTGTGGCGAATCGTTCTAAAAAAAAGGAGTGCGACTGCCACGCCCCTTTTCTTGGCATTGCGTGTCGCTGAGGTTGTGCTGAGGTTGAGTGTCCTTAATGGCTGCATACTTTCGGGTGTCTAAGTGGAGTTTCAATAAGCCAAAAGTTGGTCTTGGTTTTGGCATAGAAAATGAGAGAAATTTTGGGTACATTTTTAAGGGGAATTACAGATCTCTGAAATATGAAAATTATACAGTTCTGTGTGTGGGAATCGCTCATCTTGAAGATAGAAAAAATTACTCTTCCTGCCACAGTTTTTGCCCCCTTCCGACTTTCATTTTCTACCCCCAAAAATGTTTGATTTTTGTGTACACAGGGAATAAGTTTCGGGAATTGCACAAGCACTACTTAGTGGCGCTGTTCAATGTAGTTCGTAATTCAATCAGAGACTACTGTCTGTATTGCCAGCAAAAAGCTAATCCCGCAGAGCACCCACTCCCTCGACTTGGACACCATTTCTCGTCCATTTTTATGCAAAGTCGCAGGGCAAACACAGAGCAGAGAGATGACGTGAAAACCGTTGGACAAACAACATTTGGCAATAGCCTATGTCCAAGTCGATGTGGTTGATGGCTTTATGGACCGATATCCAATCAACCCCAAAAGCAGGCAGCAGGCAGCAGGCAGCAGGCAGAGGCCCGCCTTCCTTCGCTTTTCCCATTAACATAACAATAATTATGGCTACGTTATGCTCCCAGAACGTTGACCATTCCGCCTAGAGACATTCGGCAAACACACACATCAAGTAGTGGAAAAATACAGTAGAATATATAGAATGGATTTCTGCAGTCATAAGCAGAAACGACGCTGCCCGGACAACAATCGACATCCTGGACAGCGAGCGCTATGCATCCGGTTGAATTGATTTGGATTTGGCTTTGGCTTTGGCCGTGGCTTGGACTTCGGCCCAGAGGGGTGGCTCTACATTTCAAATGTAAATCGTCATTTTGGAACTGTGAATGTTCCACGTAATTAACTTCAATTGGAATTGGGGCAAAGTGCCAGCGCGAAGGCTCCTGTTTTCCTTGTTCCTGGCTTGGCCTTTTCTTTGGCTTTTCCCTGCAGCTCATTAGGGTAGCAGACATAAATTTCGATCAAAAATAAATTGACAGGCGTGCAGATTTAAGATGCTTAGAGCTCTGTGCATCCAGCAACCAGCAAATCCAATTTCCGCGCAGAACTTGCCAGAGGAATGGATGGAGCATGGAGGAGGTTTGCGGCTCACGTACCGCCAGGCAGGCAGGAGGCAGGCAACACTTTCGGCTCCCACTGGCACTTTCAGGACGGGCAGGACAGGCAGGACTTGGCCATTTATGTGAGCAGGTCATGTCGCGGTCATAAATACAACAATGCCGCCAAAAGTTTTGAGAGTGTCGCGAGCGCCATAAATTGTGCTCGCAAAAACTCACGGATTTATGTTTGCGAAACGCACGCGAAGGACATGAGCACGAGGCAGGCAGGCAGGCGGACAGGCCAGGCAGGAGATAGCACCATGATGTGGCAGAGGCAGGGGCAGGGGCAGGGGCAGGATATCTACGAGAAACGTAATCCACTTTAAAGTTTTCCTCGCTTCGGGTTTCAGGCTCAGCCTCAGCCTCAGCCCGAATCAGCCACAGCCTCAGTCTCGTCTTCAGTCAAGGATATCCGCCAGGATATCTGCCGCTTCGCTTTTGGCAGCCACTCAGCCACTCTCTCGTATCCTCCGCGACACAAGCCATCTTATCCAATTTGCATTTAACGCATTTTTTTGGCCAATTTCATTCGAGTTCCCTCCTCTCTCTGCACCCTGCAAATCCCATTTGCAGCTATTTGCATTTAAGGCGTTCCGTGAAATTGAGACAAAAAATTAATAAAAGTGCGCTTCCAGCGGGGTCCTGGCAGCAAACAGCAGCACCACGGAGTCACGAGTCCGGCAGTCCAGCAGTCCAGCAGTCTGGAGGGAACCGCAAGTAAAAATGTTCAATAAACGTCCGGCCAGCGCTGAAGAGCGTCAACCGCAAGCGCCTTCAATGGAGGAGCAGCACCCACTCGAGGGTGGGTTGTGCTGGCAGAGTCTGGCAGTCAATTTAGAATTTTGCACATTTTTAGACGCTCGAAAGGAACAGCTGACTTTGACAGCGGCCGCCCGCTGGCCGTTAGTTACTCCTAGTTTGCGGTTCCCGGCTGCTGCCAATATATTTGCGGAGTCCGCCAAAAGACAGAGGCAGCTCTTCAATTAAAAACGAGTAACAAAGGACAGCAGATCCTGCTTTTGGGTTGGAACATTTAGCAGCAGATTTGGATGCTCTCTCGGGCAGCACTGCCATGCCCCAAGCACTGCATTAAAAGTATCTAAAAACGATCGAGGCAGCAGCTGCACCTTGGGGAAGTTCTGGGAGGAGGAGGAGCGAGCAGACATGAGTGGGTGAGATGAGTGCCCAGAGACCGAGGTACCCATCACCAGCCTCATCCCCATTCGATTCCGTCCCTTGGCGTCTTGGCCAACTATTAATTAGGTTGTTAATTTTGCATTTGGCGTGCGTCGCTGGCTTTTCCCGTGAAAAGCGGCAGCACACGTGTAGCGGGGGAAGCAGAGCAGAGCAGCGACATGCGGCATGTGGCACGATGATAAATCTCTGCGTTTGTGCGACACCATTGGGGAACATGTGTCGCAGCTTGGCCGCACTTCCCGTGGCCCTCCACCCCACTCCATGGGGAACTGTCACTGGCCCCTGCTGCCCCGCCCCCCGAGTGCACCTGTCTCAATTAAGCGTGCAAATCGCATGCCTGTCAAAATAAAATGTTTCCCGTGCAGAAATAGTGGCCCGGGCAGTGCCAGCAGCCAGCCAGCCAGCCAGGCAGCAGAGATCTAAGGGGATCATAAAGATGCAGTCGGTGCCCCTCTGCAGACCAAGGGCTAACAGCCAGTCGCAGATAGAGAGTGAGAGAGAGAGAGAGAGAGAGAGAGCCAGGGAGTTGTCGCTGTCAGTGTCGCTTTGATCGTGCCTCAGGTTGATTATTTGTGTTGCATTTGCAGCTTGTACCTTGCTCCCTCTGGCATTCCTGCCTTCTGCGAATGACGTTCATGCGTGTTGAAGTTTCGTGATAATTGACTCGAAGGTGGTTGGGGGTTTGCTTGGTATTCACCCAAGTGACAAATTTAATTGGCCACAAAACTGGGCCAAAAGATGACAGATCTCAGTGCGTACTGTGGACCTTTCGAGGGTATTTTCTAGATTAATTTCCTATTTTCTATTAATATTTAAATAAATATACATTCAAGCTAAACTTAAGGAAGTTAACTCTAGGCAAATGTACAGAATTTAAGTGGAATTATCGATCCTCAGTGCTGTTCATAATTTTCTACATTTATTTATTATATTTTTATATTATTTTCTGCCCGTTTTAACATATTTACTCCTCTGAAACCTTAACAAATTGAAGAAAAAACACGGCTCTCCATCTTCTCCTAACTCCTCACGATTCCCTTATAAACTCCCTCCATTCCAGCGATCTTCCATTTGAGTGTTTTCTGCTGATGCTTTGATAGATCTCATTTGGTTCTACTCCAAAACTAAATTGAGCAAGACTCCTCCGCGGTACTCCTTCAAATTCAAATTGATTTTGTTTGCTAAATAATTCCCGCAGAAATGTGGCATCAACGCCTCGTTAATTAGAGGATGCTCCTGCCAAGTGGCAGCTAAAGAGCCGTGACAGGCTGCCGAGCAATTGACATTTTGATAAAATACCCACAAACAGCGAGGAGTACGGGGAGTACGGGGAGTACGTGGAGTAGTGGGACACATGTTAGCATCTCAGATCGGATATGGGAATGGGCAAAACTTAATGATCTGTGCCTAAATGCAGCGAATCAGAGATATGACAAGTAAAAAAGAATTTATGGCTCTAAACAGGCAGCAAACAGGAGGAAAACTAACCGGGAACCGGGAACCGGGTACCCACCATCCATCCACCCCCTGGCAACCCTCAAGCGAGAGAAGACAAC